AGGAGGGCTTTTGCTATCGGAATAGTTGGCGCACCGACGCCGACGCCGCGCTTGCCTAGGATGCGCTGCGTGGACCTCTCTAGTTTGCCCACTGTCTGCGCTGCAGCAGTTGGGCCGCGGTGGCGCGCATAGCTGGCGCGATGCTCCAGTGCTTCAGTTGTCGCGGCCGCCTCGCTTTGAATGTGGATCAACGGCAGGTCGCACCTGCCGAGCGCTGGGCACCAGACAGCGCGGGTCGCCGCTAGGGCGTGTGCCTGGGGCTCGCTGCTCTCCCCAGGCGCGCTCCGCAATCGGTCTTATGTCGTGAGACCTTTGCGCGTTTCGCGCCGCTCGCGCTCTCGCTCTCTTGCTGTTCGGAAACTCATGGGATGACTCTGGGATGACTGACTGACTGACTGACTGGTGGCGCGTCGGCGCGGCGCGACTGCGCGGCTCGGGTCGGGTCACCGTGTCCGTCGCAGGTCTGGTGTGTTTTTATTTCCTATGGCTCGCTCTCTCTCTCTCTCTCTCTCTCTCTCTCTCTCTCTCTCTCTCTCTCTCTCTCTCTCTTTGTTTCTCTCTCTCTCTCTCTCTCTCTCTCTCTCTCTCTCTCTCTCTGGGTCTCCCCCTGCTGATATTATAGAATCTATACATTGTATAACATGCGATGAATGTAAATGTAAAGATATGCGAATTGTGGATGGAGGATGATGTGATTTGGAGGAAGGGCGCAGGGATGCGCGGGCGTCGAGAGAGAGCGCCCAGGAGTGAGTTGAAGAGAGGCAGTCAGTTGATCAGCGGAGTGGATGGGGGAATGGGGGGGGGGGGGGCTCCGGGGAGAGGAGGGGGAGTGACGCATGACGAAGCCCTCCCACTCAGAGCCCTTGGAGCGGGAGCAGCAAGGGCTGACCAACTGGAACATCGAGCCTCGCGACAAGTCGCGCAAGTCGCGGTCGGTCAGCTCGGTCAGCTCACTTCCTGGCGGGATCAGGATTTCCGAAAACGCTCCCTTCCATCTCTCCATATCTCTCTCCCTCTCTCTCTGACCGCGGCCAGCCGTCTTGTGCGATTCATTCGTTCCCCCATCTGCCCATCTGCTTATCTGTCCCGCGCCTGCCCCCTTCCACTTCCCCGTCCATCCCCCCGCCGCTCCAGGCGACCCCATCGGCCCTTTGCGCCGCGGCGGCCTGGTGCAGCTAGAGAGACGTCCTTCCTGGAAGTCCTTCCTGGGCGCGACGTTTGAAATATTCGAAAGGTGTGGGGGGCCCTGGGGGCCCTTGGGGAGGGCCCAAGCAGGGGCGGCCTTGCCTTGCTTTGCAGCAGCTTCTCACTCGAGCGTCGTGGGAATTCCGGGCGCCAGAGTCAGCCCGCTCCGCTCTCGTGGGATCACATCGCTCCCCCCCTATCTCTCTCCGCTATGGTGGTGGCCCCCGCCAAGCGCAAAGCCGATCAGCTCGTGGACACTGACGCAGACGAGGTAGAGTCTCAGGACGGTCAGGGCGGCGGCTGTGGCGATGACACTGAATGTGGCATTGACGTGCACGCCCCCTCGCCCATCCCCAACAAGTTTGACCCGGACCCTGCTGGCGACTTTGGCAAGCGCCACCCGACCTTGTCTGGTCGATTGCTGCAGGAGCGTGCCAGGATCGACTACGTGCTGAAGGATGCTGCGTGCTGCGTCCTCTCCTCCTCCTCCTCCTCAGGACTCCTCTCCTAGTTCCTAGTCTCCTACTGGCTCTCCTACTCTCTCCTCTCCTCTCCTCTCCTCTCTCGCGCCCATCTCCTCTTGCCGCCAAGGTGGGGCGATTGGGGCTGTGAGTCTTCGAAGGCCCGGGGGGGGTGGCGGGGCGGCCCAGGGCCGCCGCCGCTTGGAGTCTTGGAGAGCCCCATCGGGCCCAGGGGGGCACAGTGATCGAAATCTCCGTGTGTAAGTTAGACGGGCCATGCGCCCGTGGCCCGTCGCCCACCGCGTTGGCCCTGCAAGGGCCGAGGTGGGGGCGGGCGTCGGGTCGGTCCGTCGGGTCGTCGCACTTTCGAGTGCTCAAGTGTGGCTTCGCTCTCGGGCCCGGGGCCCGGGGGCCTTGAGGGGTCGATGGGAATCGAGGAAGGGGGGGGAAGGGGTGCCGCCCGATGCCCAGGGGAAAGCCACGGTGAAATTCTTCGACAGCTCTGGGAAGGTACTTATCCACAAGCACAAACTGAACATGAGAAACCAGATACAAAATTGGCATTCTCCGGGACGGCATCCAGAAGGGCGTGCGCTCTGAGATCGTGGTCATGCCCGCGCCCAGTTGCGCCGATCAGGTGCCTTTCTTGGCCCATTCGGGGCCGCTCGTGCCGCTGACCATGGAGTTCGAGTGCATCGCCGGGGGGCACTTGAGGGACGCCGCTTACCAGGCCTATAAAGAGAACCCCCGCAACACGCAAGTGCGCTTCAGCATCGAAGCAGGCGTCGCATGATGCAGCACGTCGCATGGCGTCGCATGCTCCTGCTATGCTCAGCCCAGCTATGCGCCGCTGCTCTTCATGCTCTTGTCATCTTGTCCACGTGCCCTTGTGCCTCTTTCCGGCCATGCGTCTCTCTCTCTCTCTCTCTCTCTCTATATATATATCTCTCTCTCTCTCTCTCTCTCTTTCCTTCTTGGTTGTTTTTTTTTTTTTTTTTTTTTTTTTTTTTTTTTTTTTTTTTTTTTTTTTTTTTTTATTTTTTTTTTTTTTCTCTCTCCCTCTCTCTCTCCTTATCTCTCTCTTCTCTCTCTCTCTCTCTCTCTCTCAGTGCCTCTGTCTGAGTCTGTGTCTTGTCCCTCTGTGGTCTGTATGTCTTCTCTCTTTCTATATAATGTCTGTCTGTCTGTATGTCAGTCTGTCCTGGTCTGTCTGTCCCTGTCTGTCTGTTTATGTCTTTTCTGTAATGTCCCCTGTCAGTCTGTCTGTCTGTCCCTGTTCCCTGCCCCCTTTTTGTGTCTCTCTCTTCTCTTCGCTTCTCTTCTCTTCTCTCTCTCTCTATCTCTCTCTCTCTCTCTCTCTCTCTCTCTCTCTCTCTCTCTCTCTCTCTCTCTCTCTCTCTCTCTCTCTCTCTCTCTCTCTCTCCTCCTCAGCCCCTTACCCCCTCGTCTTCGTTCCCTCGCTTCCTCTCTGATTCCGAAACTACCGCTGCCCTCTGCCTCGCCGCCTCGCCCCCTTTCTCGCTCTGCCGACTTCTGCCCCACCCCGCCCGCTCCCCCCCCTCCCTCCCCCCCCGCACAGGCATGCCAGGTGTGACTATTGTTGACCCGCGCATCCCCGAGGATGCGATTCGATTCTTTTGGAAGCGTGGAAATTCTACCAATGGTCAGGGGGCTGCGACGTCTCACATGGACAAGTACGGACTGATCCCTGATTTATGTAAGTCGTTTGGGGATTGCGAGAGGGAGCGCAGGTTGAAGGGGAAGGCGCAGGCAGAGGATCCCGATGATGAGGAAGGATGCGCCGCTGGTGACAAGAAGAGGGGGCAAACGGGGTACGAGACAAGGTTCCCTGGGCCCTGGGCCATCCAATAGCAATTCCGACGACGATCGATCTCTGTCTCTCTGGCTCCCACACTCCCTGACACCCTGACACCTGGCTCTGACTCCCCAGCTCATGCAATTCCTATGTTGCCCTTTTGCGCATTTTCTTTGGCCGAGGTTCTGGAAGCACATTTCGGAAGGTGACAACGGAGATCTGCTTGATTCTTTTATCGAGTTTAGGGCGGCGAGGACGTTCCTGAACGCCATGAAGGACTGCGGGTACTGGGATCGGTATCGTGAAGACCAGAACGACAGCGTGATATTCTATTTGTCACAGTTGGACACAAAAAAAGTGTTCAAAATCAATTTCGAGATCTGGTCCATCTTCAAGGGATACGCCTTGAAGCATTCGTGCGCGACTTACCTTGATGTGATGCTCGACGTGTTGAAATTTACTGGGCCCAGAACTAACTCGCGCTCGAACCCCGACCGCCAGGAGCTCAGCGCCGATGGCGGCGTCGCAGAGGTGTCTGACGGCGCGCCCCCACACTCCTAGACCTAGAATAATCCCAGCCCCCAGCCGCCAGCCTGGCCGCCAGCCCAGCCAGTTGCATTTCCTTCCCCCCTTTCTCCCCTGCTGTACTCCTGCCCCCACCATCCATCCTCGCGCCCCCCCCCCTCCCGGGCGCCCCCTCGCCTTTCCTCTCCGCGCGCCCGACTGGCCCCACCCCGGGCCGCCCCGAGGTGGAGGTGGAGTGGCTCCTCAGGGAGCCGAAGGAGGCGGTCGACGCCGTGAACTTGCTGTTCGTGCCCGTCAAGGGGAACAAGAAGATCCTTCGCCAGGGGGCCGCGCACCGCGCCGCGCGCACCCCCCCCGCCCCTTGCCTTTCGGCCCCAAGGGCCCCCTGGGACCCGGGCCTCCTGGGCCCTTGGGCATGGGTCGAAATCGCGGCCTTCAGGTGATGATTGATGCCATTGATGCTTCCCTGGGGATGATTCGGATGACCCCTCGATGTTATGATTATGATCCTGATGCTTGGCCCGCGAGCCTCTGAGCCCATAGGGGTCCCGGGGTTCATAGAGTTAGAGCGAAAGTTGCGTCGGCGCCGCAGCCCGCGGCCGGTGCCCTCGTCGCAATCCCAGAGCAATGATTGACATCGGGGCCCAGCGGGGTCTCACAATCCCCCGCGCGCCTTTTTTCTCGGGCCCCTAGGGGCCGCGCCGCCCGCCCAACCCCGCGGGCCCCGGGCCAAGGGGCCCGCCCAGTGGCCCAGGGGAAGTAAAAGCGAGTACAGAAGAGGAGATTTGGATATTGTCAATTGAAGTAGAGTAGAGTACAGTCTAGTGCATAGAATGCCGCAGGTGCGCATAGATAGCCAGATATCCAGATAGCCGCGCTTTACTTTAATCGCCGCGGCTGGGCCCGACGAGATCTGCGCGAGAGCGCGAAGCTAACCGCGTCGACTCGGCCGCGTCGACTTAAATATTTCAGACATCAAGCGTTTCGCCCTGGGCATTTCGCCCTTCCTCCAGGCTGCCGCGCAGCAGTCGCCCGTGCCCGCAGTCCTGATGAACGGCCCGCTGGCCATTGGCGTCGTCAAATCTAAGCAGGCGGCCGCAGTTCCGAAGAAGAGGCTCAAGTCTGTGGCCAAGGCTGCGACCGAGATTCCATTGACTAGGCCGATTCCGGAGGTCATCCTGGATGACGTCATCCATTTCATGAGCTATTGCTTGCGCAATGTGGCCACCGACGTTTTGTCTTCACAGTCAGCGCACAAGCAGGCGCGCATCTGGTGTATCCATTTCATTTTTAAGCACGAGGTTCTGGTTCCAGCGTATAGCGAGAAACTTCAGAAGAAGCCAAGCTGCGTGGATGGCAAGCTGAAAATCACGGTCCTCTGGCACGTTGGAAGTACCAGTGTAGCAGTAGGCAGTAGTCATCGTAGTAGTAGTAGTAGTAGTAGTAGTAGTAGTAGCAGTAGTAGTAGTAGTAGTCGTAGTAGTAGTAGTAGTAGTAGTAGTAGTAGTAGTAGTAGTAGTAGTAGTAGTAGTCGCAGTAGTAGTAGTAGTAGTAGTAGTAGTAGTAGTAGTAGTAGTAGTAGTAGTAGTCGCAGTAGTAGTAGTAGTAGTAGCAGCAGCAGCAGCAGCAGTTTAGTAGTTTAGTAGTCGTAGTAGTAGTAGTAGTAGTAGTAGTAGTAGTAGTAGTAGCAGCAGCAGCAGCAGCAGCAGCAGGAGTAGTAGTAGTAGTAGTAGTAGTAGTACTAGTAGTAGTCGTAGTAATAGTAATAGTAGTAGTAGTAGTAGTAGTAGTAGTAGTAGTAGTAGTAGTAGCGCAGCAACCGTGTAGCAGACAGTAGTGTCTGTGTGTTTGTAGCGTCTAGTCTGCCAGGGGTGCATATCATCGCCCCTCCCTCCGAGCCCCTCTCCTCTCTCCTCCAGCCCCTCTCCTCCTAGCCTCCCCCTTCTCACTCTAGCCCCTCGCTCCTCATATCACCCCGCTTCTCCGGGGGCAGGCGGCATGCTGCCCGAAAGGGGTCCAATTCACGGCGCCATGCTGCGTCCGCCGCGTCAGCCTGCCCGCCCTGCACTGCCCCCCCCCCGCCCCCCCCCTGCCGAGGTATATACGCACCTTCGGCAGCGCATCATTCAGTACTTGGTTGACCACGTCGACGGGGCAGACGCAGGGGGCAAAGGCGAGCACGACGCACCAAATGATGATGAGGCAGAGCAGCGTGAAGCAGACGCCGACGACGACGACGCTGGCCCCGAGGCGACGACAGATGCAGTGGCCGTGCGCTCAAAGGAAGTGGCGGCTCAGCTTGACGTCCCAGGCGCCATCGTCAACGTTTTCCTTGTTGCGCTGAAAGAAAAATCTACTTTGGTGAAGGACCTTGCCACGATCGTGAGAGATAACCCTATCAGTGTGCTGAAATTGTCGAGTCCTGAGGCGATGAAGAGAGGGCGCGCCCTGATGGGGAAGATGATCAGCTCGATCTGGAACAGCTTCATCCACACCCCGGGCAGCGGGGGAGGGGGCTCCAAGACAGTCCCGCAACTGATCGCATCGGCTTCCGCGCATAACGGCGGCGGGGATCCCGCTGCAGTTGCTGCTGCTCGGAGGGACATTGCCACTGCTGGAATTATTAAACTTATTGGGGCCACTATCTTCAGCTCGCTCGACTGCCGTGTGGTGAATCTAGCTCGTGCTCTCAAGGGTGTTTGCGATGCTTCCAGTACCATGAATTTTGGCATCGTCCGCCCGGAACTCCATTCTGTTGGTGAGGTAGCGGGGAACTGTTTTAAGTGAATTTCAGATACTTAAACTTTCAACGATAACTGAAAACCCTGGAACCCTGGGGGCCAGGGGGCTGCCTCTGGCCCTGGAAGGGCCGAATGGCGAAGGGGCTCGAACATATTCGAGGAGAGGGGGAGGGAGGGGCGGGGAGGGGGAGGGAGGGGGATAAGGTGGGGGGGGGAAGGGCCCGGGGAGGAGTAGGAGGGAGGGACGACCCCCGCTTTAACTTGCAGCCTCTCCCCTCCCCCCAGCCTCTCCCCACCCCTACTTGCCGCCGTGCCGCCGCCTCCTCCTCCTCCTCCTCCTCCTCCATTGCCCCGCCCAGGTCTTCGACTCCATGGAGAGCCTTGAGCTGTTCTTGACAATGCGTGCCAGGTACGCGAACGTTTTGATCGGCCAGCTCGCCGACATCCGCTCGCACCTGTTCGCGAATTGCGATCTTGCGGAGTTGGCCCCAGACCGCCAGGGGAAGGGGCCTTTGGCCGCCGCTTTCGACGCGCTCCAGTTGGCGCCGAAGTTCTTCGCGATCTTCAGCGACGCGGTCAGCCAGATGGACTCCTCTCGTTCCAGTCTGGATGCGTGGACGACCGCGTGGACTGGCGTTGTGACCAAGAGCTGTCAATTGGACCGCGCGGTTTTCATTCCCAAGACCGAGGATGAGTGGACGCGGGTGGCCTCGAACCACCGCTCGAAGTTGAATGCCCAGACTAAGGAGGTGTTGGGGGAGCTTCTTCCCGAGACGTTGCCTAATGGCGAGACGTCGGGGGTCGCCAAGCTCAGCAAGAACGAGATGATCGAGATCCTTGTCGCCACCCAGATCGAGACCGCGAAGGCGGAGGAGACGGCGTTGAAGGAGGAGTGGGATGCCTTTGCCAAGACGTACAGCGAGGAGCTCGGCAGCCTGGGCAATGGCAACGGCCGCGGCTTCGGTGGCAGCCCCGCGACCTCGGACTCAGCAGAGAGCAGCATTGTCTCGGCGTTGGCAGAGGTTGACGAGAGGACTGGCTGCAGTGATAGCTTCCAATCCGTGCGCGGTGGTGCTGGCGCTGCCAGGTCTTGTCTGGCGGACCCTAGGACGAGCAGGACGTTTGAGTCGATGGCGGCGGCGTCTGCGTTGACGATGCAGCTTCTGAGTGTCCACGTCGACGTCGGACATCAGTTGATCGTGAGGCGGTCGCCCAGGGACCCGACTGAGCTCGCCAAGAAGCTGCCCAAGTTGTACTTCATTCATCGCGATGAGGGGTTGCCAGCTTTTGACGCGTTCGAGCTCCACCTCACGGGCAAGGTGAGCGCGGGGGCGTCGCCGCCCGCTAACAAGCTGATCTACTCTGCTGGGAAGCTCGCGAACGGCGACAAGCTGTTCGTCCAGCCGCCGGCGGCGGCGCTCACCCCAGCGAGCGACTGCTACCTGCCCGGCTGGGGCGTCAGGGTGATCAAGCCTGCCTGCGGCAAGTTGCCGACGATGGCCCCCGTGAACGTGGAGCAGGCTTCCTCTTCCCCCCCCTCTTCCCCTTCCTCCTCCCCCTCCTCCTCTCCTCTCCTCCGAGACTCCCCCTCCTTCTCCTCCCCCTCCCCTTCCTGCTCCTCCTGATGATGCTGCGCGGGCTGGTTGCAGGCGCCCGACGGGGGGGTTTGCCAGTGGGGCCGCAGCCCGCTGCGCATTTCGATTTGCGCAGGCCTCAGCGAGCGCTTCGCAACTCGGTGTCCTCATGTCCTCATCCTTCTCTTCCTTCTCATCCTCCTCCTCGTCCTCGTCTTCCTCGTACGTAGTCCCCCTCTCCTCCTCAGTCCTCCCCCCCCTCCTTTCTGTCTTCTTTTTTTTTATCCCCTCCACCTCCACCTCCTGACTCTGACTCTTCGCTTGGTGTTATTATCCTATCTTATCCTCGGCCCATTCTCTGAAAATCCCCATATCCATTATCTAATCCCTCATCTCTTCCCCCTCCCCATCTCCTGCCCCCCCCCAGCTCTCCCCCCTGCCTCTCATCTCATCTCTTCTTCTGTTTTTTCTTCTCACTCGCCGGCCGCCGCCGGCCGCCGGCCGCCTGCGCCCCCACCCCGGGCCCCGGCCCCCCCGCCGCCAACCGAGGTCTGCGGCTACTCCTCGGGGCCAGCAGGTGCGCAGTCGACTGGAACGGCCGCCGTGACCACGCGCAAGTTGGCGGGCCGCGGGCCGCCGCGGGGGGGCTGGGGCCAGGGCGGAGGACATCGGAATTGACATTGCAAGACGGAGGACGAGGAGAGTGACGAGTGACGAGAGGGGAGGGGGGGAGGGGGGGCGGGAGGTGGATAGGTGAGGCTCACGGTGAGGTGAGGAGGGTGAGTCTCTCTCTCCACAGTCTCTCCTAGGCTGTCTCTGCTATCCCTCTCCCGGGGGCCCTGGGGCCGACGCTGTTGAACCGTGTCGGCGGCGGCGGAAGGAGCGGGGCCCGCGGAAGTCAAGGGGCCCCGGACCGCGGCGACGGCCTCGGCGGAAGTCCGGCGGAAGACGCGGGAGGCCGATGTCGGCATGTTCGGGCCCCCGAGGTGCTCAACGTCGACGCGCTGACGACAGCTGAGCCCCCTCGGGCGTCCGCTTTCGACGACAAGAAAAAGTACAAGCAGGCCCTGAAGGGGTTCAGCTTGTCTCTCGCTGACAAGCACAGGGTCGGGTACGTTGACCCCGACGATCGCGAGCTGGGTCACTGCCCCGTCGAGTTGACCCGGCTGCCCTTCCCGGAGGAGCTCGAGAGGCCGAGGCGCGCGGTCGTCGAGGCGTCTGGCGGCGAGGCCGACGAGGACGACATCTGGGCCAAGATGCCGCCGAAGCTGATGAAGCGCACGGCCAAGCACTTGCTCGGCTAGGAGGCGGCGGCAGCTGTAGCTGGCGTTAGCCTCAGGGGCCCCACCTGGCTCTCCTTTTCACTCCACTCCTCTCCTATCCTCCGAGGCTCCTGTCCCTATTCGCCCTTCTCCTCCTCCTACTCGCTGCTGTCCGTCCCCTCCCACCCTTCACCCTTCCCCCACTTCTGCCACTTCCCCACCCCCGTCCCTCTTTGATTTTGACGCTAGCCCGCCTCTGCCGCCTCCCCCCCCCCCCTCATCCTCCGCTCCCCCTCCTCCACTCCTCTCAGGTCTGCCCGGTCTGCCCTGCGAACGACCCCCCGACTCCCGACTCCGGCCCGACTCCCCGCTGGCGCCCTGGCCCTAGGAGGTCCGCTGAGCCCGCCGCCCGGCGGCGCTCGCGGCTCGCGGTCAGGCTCGCGCGCGCGGGGGGGGGCCCGGCGCAGAGGGTTCGACGGCTGCGCCCTCGATCCCAGCTACTAGAGGGGCCAGAGGGGTGGGCCCCGCGGGCCCAGGGGTGGTGGGATGGATGGGGTTCCCGGAGTTCGGTTCGGGTTTGGGGGGGGCTCGGATGGGGGCGGGGCGAGTCGATGAACCCTCTGCCCCGGGGCCCCCCTGATCGGCCCTGGCTGCCTCGAGGCCTCGGGCGGCCTCGAGCTCGAGCCGTTTTGTGCTGCGAATTCGTGCGTGTCCAGGCGTGTCAGGGGTGACATGCTATGTTATATCTTCCTCATCTCTCTTCCCTCTCCCCCCTGCCCCCCCCCTCCCCTTCCCC